ACATCATAACACAATCTCCTGCCTAGTGCCCTTATTTCTGTCTCCCACCCTGTCCTAACACCCCAGAGAGGTAACAACCATTCTTCTAAAACACAAGTCAGAGTCTGTGATATCAGAGTATAGTGCTAAAAACTCCACACTGGCACTCTACGTTACTCTCAGTAAAACTCGATGGCTTATAAACCATGGAAATTCCCATCCACTACTTATCCTTCTCTCTCTCCATTTCTGTTTGTGATCTGAATGTCCCCCAAGGATTCCCATGTTTGAACACTTGGTCCCCAATGGTGGCACTGTTTTGAGAAGGTTGTAGAACTTTTAGGAAGGAGAGCACTGAGAGAGAAAGTGGGTCACAGGGGGAACAGTGACACTTTTTACAGAAGCCCAGACCCACTTCCCATTCACTCTCTGCTTCTTGAGCGCAAACACATGATAAACCTGCTTCTGGCTCCTGCCACCATGCTCTCCCTTCCATTGTATCCCTCTGGAACTATATACAAATCCTGTCTCCCTGAAGTTGCTTCTGTCAGAATTTTTTTTTCGGGGAGGGGGGAGGTGCGGGGGGGGGGGGTCACAGTCATTACTGGTTCAATAAATGGTGGGAAAAAAACACATTACCTATCATCACTCCTGGGGCATCATGACAGACATGAAAACCACCCTTCAGAAAAGCTGGTCAGGATATTTAACATGGCAATAGGAAAAGAACTAAGGCAATACTTATTAACATCCACGTGTGTAATTCATTCATTTAATCATCTGTCTCCTCACCCAGCATAAATGCTCCATGAGATTTCAGGTTTCTGTCTGCCTTGTTCCCTCCTAGAGTCCTAGCACCTAACATAAAACATGCTCAATGAGTTGTGGTTTTTTTATATTACATTGTTTATTTCGTGTTTTTGTGTGGACGGGTGCAGGTGGAAGCCAGGCGACAACCTGTAGGAGCTGATTCTCTAAGTCCCAGGGACTCATCAAGTGTTCAGCTTGATTAACCTTTTCCTACTGAAACAGCTCCCAGCCTTCAATCTGTGTATTTTAAATGAATAAAAAGGTAATGCTCAAGGAATAAAGTTCAGAGGTGTTAACAAACAAGCTAATCATGTGCCAACATTGTTCCCACTACATTAACTCATTTGCCCATCCTAAGAGGTGAAATACTAATGCTAGTATTCTAATTTTACACAAGAATTTAAACAGAAGTTAAAGTTAAGAAATTAAGGTTGGAGAGATGGCAACAGTTAAGAGCACATATTCTCCTACAGAGGACCCAGGTTCTGTTCCTAGCACCTACATCAGGCAGTTTACAACATCTACAGCTTTAGTTCCAGAGGACCCAATGCCCTCTGGCCCTCTGCACACCTGTGATATACAGAAACTCACATATACACCATATACACATAAATAAAATTATCTTATTTTTAAAGCAATTGCAGTTAAGACTAGTTATGGTGGCATACACTTCAACCCTAGCAGTCTAACCCCAGCACTCAGGAGGAGAAGGCAGGCGGATCTGAGTTCAAAGTCAGCCTAATCTACAGAACAAGTTCCAGAACAGCCAGGACTATACAGAGAAATCCTGTCTTGAAAAAAAAGAAAACAACTAAGCTTAAGCAGCAATATGCCCTACACTATACAAGGCAAGGCTAGGATTAAACACTCTAATTCCAGAATTGACACTCCAAACCATGGAAAACCTCAAGTGCCATACAACTCAATTATATTCCACATAATCATAGCCCATCGCGCTCAAAATAGCTAATGTACTACTTATTTGATTACACATAGCACTTTGTTCTCTGCTCTTTCTCCATCAGTGGCTCTGATACCTTATAAATAAAATGTATTTAACAGTATGAAACAGCAGCTGTTCCTGTGAAACCCTTCACCTTTAAATTTCCAGTTTGAACCTGGATTACAAGACTGATATAACTGCGACTTTAATAGTAAAGAAAAACACACTTCAATGGACTCAACTACAATAGGATAGGGAAGAAGAAGCAAACAGCCTTTAAAAAAAAAAAAAAAAAAAAAAAAACAGACAATCTACACTGTAGTTCAATCAGACCTAAAACTCACTATGTAGCCAGGCTGGCTTCAAGCTCAAGGCAATCCTCCAGTGTCAGTCTCCTAAGCACTGGAATCACAGGTTTATCTTATTTTTAGTTATGTGCACAGGGTGTGAATGATGTGAGTGTGGTGCCCAGGAGGCCAGAGAGGAAGTCAGATCCCCTAAGGCTAGGGCTAGAGGCAACTGCGAGCAGCCTGATGTGTGCTGGGAACCAACCTCAGGTCCTCTAGAAAAGCAGTAAGCTCTCTTAAGTGCTGAGCCATTTCTACAGCACCCAAGTAATGTGTCCTGATTAATAAAATGCAGGATTTTTTCAGATACACAAAATTCTAAACTGGTTTCTAAATTAAATTATTTCCATCTCTGACACCTACCAAATTACACAATTTTATTTCTACAAGAATCACAATTCATTATCATGTAAACATTAGTATATGCACCCAAGTTGCACCCAATATCTTTTGGGTTTTTTTTTTCTTCGGTGCTGGGGATCAAACCTAGAGCTTTCCTGCATGTTAGGCAAAGAAACTACACACTAAACACATATCCATTCCCAGCAGCCAGTATCTAAATCTTCAAAACTCAAAACTAGCCTGGCATGGTGGTGAATACCTGTAATCCCAGTACTTGGGAAGCATAGGCAGTCAGATTTCCATGAGTTAAAAGCCAGCCTTGTCTCCATAGTGAGACCCCATCTCAAAAATTCCAACAAGGGGAGGCAGTAAATATGTGGGGTTTGCTCCTAGCTAATTTAAATCACAAATACTCACTGTACCAACCAATTATCCAATGTCTACATAGAGATCATTAAATCTTTAATTTTATGACTATAAATTGAACTATACACTTTATCAATTAACTATCATAGCCTCATTTCCTATCAGTCTTTACAAGCAGAAGTTTCTCTAGTAGATCAGCATCTGCTCCTGAAGCGAACATGGAGAACAGGCAGTGATCTCCAACTACTGAAATAACCTACGCATTTCTCTCTTGGGTTACAGAAAAGTATTCCTTTGGCCAAAATAAATCAGGCAGGCATTAGGAAAGTTACTGTTTTTAAATTTCATTTTCTGGTAGTTTCCCCTTCTTCCATAAGTGAACTATGGAGAGTCATGCCTCTCATTATATCATAATATGTATCCATCAAAGGGCTTGTTTACTGAACAAGAAATAGTTTAAGTCACAAATGATAAGCCATGTGGTTACTACAGTCTAATAGGACGCACGAATCCAGAAGACTCGGGTCTACTGTGCTAAACTGTGAACCACTGATGTGAACTGTTGTTCACTCTCAATAACATCTCCCAAGAAAAGTAAGACACATTCTCCCACAGGATACCAGAAGAAGCACAGTTTAAATGCATTTGACACTGACAATATTCCTTGAAAATGGAGGGACCTACATAATGAAAAAAATCCTATTTCATTTTGAAAGTGTTTGATGAAGACTGCAATAAAGCCAGGTGTGGTGCACGCCTTTAATCCCAGCACTTGGGAGGCAGAGTCAGGCGGATCTCTGACTTTGAGGCCAGTCTGGTCTACAGAGTGAGTTCCTGGACAGCCAGCATTACACGGAGAAACCATCTTGGACCAGGGGAAAAAATGTAAAAAGAAAGAAAGAAAAAAACTGCAATAAATACAACTGAAAATGAAAAATAAAAGCAATCTTCAAGAAAGCCAAGCATAGGAGGTCAGGTCTGCAGTCTCAGCACTTGGAAGGCTAAGATGGAAGAATCACAGTAGGCTGGAGGCTAGCCTGGGATAGAGTGAGTCCATGTCTTAAAAGAAAAATTCAAAAAAAATAGGGACAGCCAGATAACTCAACGTGTAAAGTGCCTATGGCACAAGTCTGACAACCGATCTGATCCTAGCAATAGCAATCCACAGTGGGAGAACTGAGTCCCAAAGGCTGTCCTTTGACCTCAAATCTGGAGCACGCCACACACACACACACACACACACACACACACACACACGTCCATTTTTTTTAAAAAAATCCAAAAATAATCACCCCCAATGAATAAATACAATAAACACAAAATGTATCAAGGTCTAGAGAGAAACAAGGTGTAAAAGACAGCTGCACTTTAAAACATTTAAGCGATTCTCACACAATTAGCTCCAACACAACTATTAGTTTGTCTTATCCACGCAAAGCAATCAACCACAACCACCTGCAACTATTACTCTGAAACGTGCCTGACAAAGCCACTACCTGAGACCCGGGCCTTCCTTTCCTTCAAGGGTCAGCTGAAAAATTAAAAGTGGTACAAAGAGCTCAAGCACAAGCGAAGGGAGGGGGGAACGCAGGAAAAATAAACTGGAAGACAGCACTTTTAAGAGGCTAAGAGTAACGACTCATGGTTGCTTCAGAATGAAGTTGTCTAAACACCAACATCTTCTTTCTTGTGTGTGAAGCCAGAGTCACTCAGGCTGACAATTTACCTACCCCAAATCAACGCAAAGGTACTCCCTTCCGTGAATTCCACTCAAGAACCCAAACCTAAAGTGGCAATGTGAGATCTGCTTCAATAGCCCCTCTAGCTACCTCCAGGGCAACATCCCCGCTTCATTTTCCTCTTGAAATACAACCTTTCTTCTTCTTCTATATCACCAGGTCCAAAATAAAAAGATCATCTTAAACATTTTACCTCAGATCCACCTTGGCCGCACCCCAATATCCCCAAGATTCCCCGTCTCCCCACATCATGCCTCCCACCTCCGGGTCTCGGAGTGCCAGAAGCCCTCCACCTCCCCACAGCGGAGGTCCCCGCCGCCAGCGCCTGCGCTCCCGCCCAATCCCGGAGCTCCGCAGGGCGCGGCCGCCGGTGGGCTCGGGTGCGCTGGGGTGGGGTCCGCTCTCCCGACCTCCCCATCCTTCCCGCCCCCACCCCCGGCCCGATCCGGAGGGGGAGGGGTCCCGAAGCCTCACCTACGGCTCCGCCCCTCCCCAGGGGCACTCTGCCCTGCCCAGCCAGGGCCGGGAGCGCCGAGCCCGGTAGGAAACGGCGAATGCCTCAGCGCCGGCGACCGCCGGACAGCTCGAGGTTCCGCCCGACGCGCGGGCGGCTGCCGACGGGGCCGCCTCACTCTCCTCAGGGCCGCCGCTGCCGCTGCCGTTGCTGCTGCTGCCTCCCGGACACCCTGCCGCCGCCACTATCACAGCCGCCGCCGCCACCAAAGCCACAGCTACAGCACGACCGGCGCCCACGACGTCACCGCGCCCCGCCCTCCGCGCACACCTAGCCCCGCCCCCGGGCGCCCGCGCGGCATCCGCGTCCCGCCTCCCACCCTCGCGGGCCTCCGGGCTTTCCCTTATCCCTCCGGGAAGCGCCTCCCGTAGCGGCTCAGGGGGACCGCGCAACAGGATCGCGAAGCGCGGCGCTTCGAGGCCACGAAGGTAACTGGGCACCGAGGCAGAGTTGTGCCGCACGTAGAGCCGCCCCTTACAATCACACACCCACGGCCGAGCGTCCACAGGACAGCCAGGGCCGCGAAGGCGAGCAGGGAAGGTGCGGGCGAGGAGGGGCGGCGTTTGTCTCCTCCTGCTTGCCGTAGGACGTGGACTGCTGGAAGCCCCAGGAGTGGAGTGGCCTTTCCCAAACCTGGAGTCGCCCCGCCCCCTGCTTGGCAGGCCCGTTACCCGAACCCTGGGATCGCCGCCACCTTAGGAAATAACTCTGGGCTTGTCACTTTGAGTCACTGCTGCCTGGACACCCTTTGTCCAAGAGAAGTTAGCTTGCCCCTCACACTTGACTTTTCGAAATGTAGCTGCGGAAGGCAATGCTCTGAGTCCTCGGGGCTGGCTAAGCGTCATCGTAAAGACCCTCTCCTCAGTAGGTGGCTTTTCCGCAGCTCTCGTGCCAGGGAGGAAGAGCGTGGGCGGAACCTGGTGTCCACATGCGGTGCGTGAGCTGTGCCAAATGCTTCACCACGTTACCTTTTTTATTTAGCCCTCACACCAAGCAAGGCGAACGAACTACGAAGCAGCTGCTGCCTTATTTTAGACAACCCAGTTTTTCTGCTGCTGAATCTCAACCTTTTCCTTTTGTCAGGTGCGGGCAAAAGTACAGAGGTGGGGGCAACACACAGGCATTAATTTTAAAATGTAGATAAGCTATCTCTAAGCCAAAAATCTAAAGGCGGTGTGAATTATACTCATCCCCATACTCCCAGGGCTTATTAAGCTGATTTAAAATGCCTTTGAGATGAGAGGAGTTAAGACTCATCCTTTTACTCATCCTTAACCTCCCACCATCATAATTAGCCAGCTTACGCTCTTACAATCCATTGACATTTTCCCCCATCCACCCATGGCAATCACGTTCATTCACCAAGTTCTGTAGTGAGGATTTGTTTGTGTTTTAACAAATAAAGCTTGCCTGAAGATCAGAGTACAGAGTTAAGCCACTACAGGCCAGGCAGTGGTGGCACACACCTTTAATCCCAGGATTAGCAGAGGAAGAGGAATCTCTGTTAGTTCAAGGCCACCCTGGGCTACACTGGATTGAATCTGTCTGAAAGGGAAACAGCACTCTCACAAAGGTGATCCCAGCACTAGGGAGGTGGAGACTGGAGCGATGTGGCTGGGCTGAGAAAGGAATGTAAGGCAAAAGGTACAGGAGCTCAGTGCAGTCTGAGGTTTGATGGAGACAGTTGCAGTTTGAGGACTGGATCGCCCTTTCGGTCTGAGCATTGGTAGAGGTGAAAACTCTCTAGTAGCTGGCCACTCTGCTTCTCTGATCTCTCAGCTTTCACCCCCTAATATTATTAAGACCAACTAGAATTCGTCCTACAAAATAATTCTGGGGTTTTTGTTTGGTTGGTTGTTTTTTTTTGGTTTTTTAGACAGGGTTTCTGTCCTGGAACTAGCTGTTGTAGAGCAGGCTGGCCTCGAGCTCGCAGAGATCGCCTGCCTCTGCCTCCCAAGTGCTGGGATTGAAGGCGTGAGCCACCACCGCCAGCACAAAATTCTGTTTTGTCCTTCCCAGACTCTCTAATGTTTCCCTCCCAAAATGCACTTGGATGATTACAGTCCTTGGGCATGCGGAACTAACTCCCCTTCAGTACGAAGCCTAATATACGACAACCTTTTGTTAGAGTGTGTGCAGCCAGTCAAGGTGACTGTAAAGTGGCCAGAGATGAGTCTTCAAAGTCTTCATTTCTGGGACAGGGAAGATGGACTCTGTGGGTGCGAGCACTTGCTCTGCAACCATGAGCACCTGACTTTGAAGCCCCAGAACCCACATAAAATCTAGGCGTGGCTTCGAATGTCTGTAACAGCAGCGCTGTGGAAGGAAGACAGGCTGATCCCCAAAGGTTGATGATAAAATGAACTTGTGATTCGGTGAGAGACCCTGTCTCAAAGCAATAAGGCAGAGAGCAATAGAGGAGACAACTGATGTCCTGCCCAGGCCTCTGCACATGCACACTCACCTACACACGCACACACATGCCTGCACACACTCAGACAGAAACTGAAATTGACATTTCATTTCTTAGATATGTAGGTACTCACCCATGGAAAGCCATTCTTCATTGACTGTTTCTCCAGCTACTTCTCTGACAGTAAGTATAGCGAAGTTTGCCTTGCCTCAGGTGGAGATGTCCTAGAACTCACAGCAGTAGTGCCTTCAGTCCCAAATGAGGATACTGCAAGCGTGCAACACGACGTCAGCGCTCTCACTGTGCTTTATGCTGGCTTGGCACCTGGCCCCCTTCTTTTTTTTCCAGTTTCTCTATTTTGGGATGAAAATATCTATTCTGTGTATGTCCTGCCATTGTTTCCTGGAAGCATGTAACTTGTCTGGTTCTTAGCTGGAGAGAATTTTTGCCTTAGGATGACTCACCCCAAGTCTCACCCATACATAACTTAGGTAATACAGACTGAGTACCTCTTACCTGAAATGCTGGGACAAGAAGTGATTCAAATTTTCTTTTTCTTTGTTTTGTTTTATTTTGATTTGTTTTGTTTTGGGGGTGTTTTGTTTTGTTTTTGAGACAGGGTTTCTCTGTATTCCTGGCTACCCTGGAACACTCTCTCCTATAAACCAGGCTGGCCTTGAACTCAGAGATCTGCTTCCAAAGTGCTGGGTTCTGTCCTGGGAGTGAGCGTAGATACTGGCATACATATAGAGAGGTATCTTGAGGATAGACCCCCAAGTCTAAACACAAAATTTATTTCATATATACCTGTTTCAGGAAATATGTCCTAAAAGTCATTTCATACAATAGTTTTAATTTTTGCATAAGGCATGGTTTTATAATGTGAAATTTTCCACCTATGATACTGTCTTGGTAGTCCAAAACTTTCGGCTTTTGCAGCATTTCAGATTTTTTTTATTAAGAATGTTTAATATCTCTTTATCTTGTTTTAATTTGGGGAAATTTTTTATTAGTTGTTATTTTTGCCCCCACACACACACACACAGGGTGGGAATCTCACTGTATTTGCCTAGACTGATCTCGAACTACTACTACTGGGCCCAAATGATACCCTACAAACCCTTAGCCTTCCAAATGCTGGAACTGCAGACTAGTGGCACCCCATTTAACCTATATTTAGTTAGGTAGAATTGTGGATTTAGAGTCCGTGTGAACATGGATGCTCTCCGGTGGCATAGGTAGAATGTATTTTTCCTTTAAGGGGAACATAAATCTGGATGGTCTGGAGGACAAAGTTGTATGGGTTGAATTAGGGTCCTTTGAAATTAAGATTTTAATCTTCAAAGAGGTCAGCTTCGGACTGTGCTGTGGCAACTCTAACCAACTAGTAGAGACATGATCAAAAAAGTAGGAAAAAAGGATATATATAGTGTCCCGTGCCTATAGTTCCAGCACTCTGGAGGCTGAGACTTGAGTATCAAATCAGCATGTGCTAAGTAGTGAACCCTGTCTCAAAATAAAATAAAATGAGGCTGGGGGAGCCTACAGATAAATGGAAGGACAATGTGGAATTAGGAAACAATTTGAAAACATATCTCTCCCATATCTAGAACTCAACAATAGAAAAACAACCCACATTTAAAGAATGAAAGAATAATCTGAATAGATATTTTTCCAAAGAAAACCAAATAGCCAAAAAGAACTTGAGAATTTGCTCACCGTCTTTAATCATTAGAATTAGTTCTAGGCCAGGCAGAGAGCAAAACACTGTCTCAGCACTTAGGAGGCTGAAGTGGCCAGATAGCCATGAGTTTGAAGCCAGGCTGGGCTACAGAGTGAAACTCAGTTAGCAAAACAATAGATGTAGCTCAGTAGCAAGAGGCCCTGAGTTCAATACCCAGTACTAAAAGCAACAATGTAATCTAATAAAGCTTGCCTAAAGATCAAAGTGCAGAGCTAAACTACTAGTTAGCCATAAAGGCCAGGCAGTGGTGGCACACACCTTTAATACCAGGGAGACTGAAGCAGTTGGATCTCTGAATTCAAGGCCACCCTGGGTCTAAAAGAGGTACAGAGCTAGGGAGGTGGAGACAGGAGTGATATGGCTGGGTGGAGAGGAATACAAGGCAGGAGGAGAAAAGAGCTCGTTGCAGTCTGAGGAGATAGTCTAAGGGCAGGGTCGTCCTTTTGGTCTGAGCATTAGTAGAGGTGAAAACGCCAGTGGCTGGCCGTTCTGATCTCTCAACTTTCATCCCTGATAGGTGACTCCAAATTTTTATTATTGAGACCAGTTATAATTTGTGTTGCACAGCAACAACAACAAAGCTCTCTAAAAAGCTATGATCACCAATAATGCATATATCTCATGTGAAAACTAAGTACATGGCCCTTTCTTGTCTATGGGCAGGTTGTAAATACAGCTTTTATTGTGAATGAACACACATTACAGTTAAAATTAAGACCTACAGCCAAGTCATGGTGGTAAACACTTCTAATCCATTCACTTGGGAGGAAGGCAGAAGAATCAGGAGTTAAAGGCCACCAAAGCTCCAGAAGAACCCAACCATTTAAAAAAAAAAAAGAAAAGTGTAGTCTATGATTCTGTAATCCCAGGACCCACAAGGCTGAGGAAGAAGACATAGAGTTGAGGCATATCTGGGCTAGATGGTAGACTCTATCTAAAAATAAAAATAATAATAATAACAAAAATTGATGATGGTATGTTAACAAATTGGTAGAAAACTGATTATGAGAGAGAAATTCAAATGTTTGACAGAATTACTAAAAT